TGTCTCTGTGTGAGTGCAGCTACAGCGTGCGCTCTCAGGACATTATTACCTGCAGTGTTCCCTCAGTGAGGACTGAACTAGGCAAAAGGACCTGCTCCTACTCCGCTCCTGTTTCCTGGAATATCTTACAAAAAGATTTGAAGCTCTCGACCTTGACCTCTCTAAGTGGCTTTAAGAAACTTTTGGACTCCTGGCAGGGACCAATGCAGACATGTTCCTGTTTTTAGTTTTCTACATTCGCCTTAGAATCTAGCTGTTTTTTGTTACCTTTTTTAAGCCATCCTATATGTTTAAAAAAAACAAAAAAACTGGAGTATGACTTTTTTGTAATTTTTTTTGTTGTCACTGTTGTCCATTGTTGTCATCATTCTTTGTTGAAATCAGGTCTCTCTTGTAAATGAGTCCTCGAGGCTCAATGGGATTTACCTGTCTAAATAAAGGTTGAATGAATAAAGGTGTCTACATGTGTACATGCTTGCCTCAGTCACATGGCTAGCTTGGTGCTGTTCTCGTCGGTAACACATAATACATTACTGCATTTTTTTAAACCCCCAAGCTAGCAAAATGAATAAAAAACAAACGTCTTTGGCGACCCATTCCCTAAAATGGTAAATGGTAAATGGACTGTACTTATATAGCGCCTTTCTATCTAATCAAGATACTCAAAGCACTTTACACTACAATCTGTGCCTCATTTACCCATTCATACAGCACTCTACTAGATCTCTACAGAGCTAATTGAACAAATCATTCTAAAGAGACTAATCAGAGCTTTATCACATTCATACATTGATGGGACACACATCAGAGGCGATGAGGGGTTCAGTGTCTTGCCCATGGACACTTCGGCATGTGACTGCTGGTGGATTCTAACCTCCAACTTTTGCATTGGAGGACGACTGCTTTAACCACTCAGCCACAGCCGCCTAACAAACCAGAGGAATCTAGCATGTCTATGCAAGAAGATGATCAACTGCTGGAGATCGTAAATGACAGTGGCCTTAAAAGTATGTTTAAGACAACAACTCTGCCAGTGTTCTGGATTAAAGTCATGGCAGAATAATCTGAGATCGCCACAACAGCACTGAAAACCCTGTTACCATTTACAATATTCTTTCTGTGTGAAGCAAGGTTTTCTGCAGTGACAGCAACCAAAACAAAATTATAGAGCAGACTGGATACTGGACATGAGCAACACACTTCGGATGTCATTGTTTCCCATTACCCCTAGATGGGACTGTCTCGTTGCAGAGAAACAAGCTCAGGACTCCCACTGATTTAGCATTATGGTGAGTTGTATTTTTCATGCACTTTATATTTGTTTTTGTGGTGTATCTTACGTTGAAGTCATGTTTAACCTTTACTATTATGAACAGAGAGTGTAAATACCAGTTTTTATGACGGTCATATCATTTTATTTTGTTGTATTTATCCGCCACATCTTAAAGGCCGGACAATGAAAATACGTGGCAGAAAAAAGGCTGGGGACCACTGAGTTGGTATATAAGATGCTTAATGCTTAATTAGAAGTTCATACTGATAATTATATTGGTGTACCATGTTTTACAATTTTACTCTGCACTGCCTTTTTAAGGCACTTGCGCCTTTACCGGTTTCTGAATAGCCCCGATAGGAAACGGAAAATGGATACATAAAAAACTCAAAGCTACTGTATATATATATATATATATATATATATACACATATATATATATACATATACACATGTATATATATTAGGGATGGGGCCGATCCAGTATCGGTATCGGCCTCCGATACCGGCATAATTTACGTATCGGATTTTTCCGATCCAACCTGCAGAGATTTCCGATCCATGATGCATGTTGGCTTCAAACTATGGAATGGATTTCCTGAACTCCGGCGTGTCTCATGAACCCAGAGTAATAAGACCCGCCTCACATTCAGGAAATCCAGTTCATAGTTTGCAGCCAGCTACAACGTGAGGACTGAGTTAGCAGCACTGTGGATAACAGCTAACAAACTTTTCATCTAAACATGTCGCTGTGTGGAAGTATTTTACACTAAACACCACAAAACAAGACAGCAACGTGCAATGTCTGCAGAGCCACAGTGCCTCATTAAACCACATTAAAGTTAGTTTTATGATGGACATTCGAGCTTCGTGGCTTCAGCGGGGCACTACTCTTTGGTCAAACCGAAAGTGGCAACTCGACCCCAGCCAGCCGCGTCCAATCTGCCCCGCTCAGTCTGCCCGTCTCTGAGGAGGGACAGACTGAGCACGGCTGTCCCAAATCAGGCTGCCTGCTTCGGATTGAACAAGAAAAAAACATCGCTGAAACCACGGAGCTCGAATGTTTACAGAGAAGTTGATAAACTTCATAATTAATGACCAACCACTATCAGTTGTAGAAAATGAAGGATTTCACAGTTTAATACTTGCAGTCAAGATAGTTTATCCTCCAGGAGATATTTATCAGTACAACAGTAGACAATCATAAAACACATGATTTGAAAATTATTTATATTAAAAACATAAACAGCTACATTATAAAGTGATGTAAAATACTAAAAACAGGAACATGTCTGTTGGTTTATGCCATGAACTTAGCAGATGTTCGAAGCCATTTAACATTTAATGTAATTTAATTCATTTATTCATTAATTTAAATGAAACAAAATAAAAAATAAAAAATCATCAAAAAGAAAACATTGAAGGAAAAGAGTGCAGAAAGAAGAAAAAAATTCTTATATCTGCCCCTTATTTAAAAAAATAAAATAAAATAACTAAACAATCACTTAAATTAATCACTTTAATATCCACTTTAAAGCTAGGAATAACAAGTTTTAGCAGAATTTAATTCTAACTTTAAAACTTATCCAACATTATTAAAACTTACCTCAAGTTGCCTTTTTGGACATGCATGCATATATTTGTACAAATTGTACTTGAGAGGAGATTATTACAGCCTCATATAAAATCAATGATGATCATGATATCGGAACTGGATCAGTATCGGCCGATATTCAGATTTACATATCGGGATCGGATCGGAAGTAAAAAAAAGTGTATCGGTGCATCCCTAATATATATATATATTTATACACAGTATATATATATACATACACTACATATATATATATATATATATATGTATATATATTTATATATATACAAACCGGATTCCAAAAAAGTTGGGACACTAACCAAATTGTGAATAAAAACTGAATGCAATGATGTTGAGATGGCAAATGTCAATATTTTATTCGTAATATAACATAGATGACAGCTCAAAAGTTTAATCTGAGTAAATGTAACATTTTAAAGGAAAAATATGTTGATTCAAAATTTCACAGTGTCAACAAATCCCAAAAAAGTTGGGACAAGTAGCAATAAGTGGCTGGAAAAAGGAAATTGAGCATATAACGAACAGCTGGAAGACCAATTAACACTAATTAGGTCAATTGACAACATGATTGGGTATAAAAAGAGCTTCTCAGAGTGTCAGTGTCTCTCAGAAGCCAAGATGGTAAGAGGATCACCAATTCCACCATTGTTGCGCAGAAAGATAGTGCAGCAATACCAGAATGGTGTTACCCAGCGTAAAATAGCAAAGACTTAAGTTATCATCGTCAACCGTTCATAAAATCATCAAAAGATTCAGAGAATCTGGAACAATCGCTGTGCGTAAGGGTCAAGGCCGTAAAACTCTACTGGATGCTCGTGATCTCCGGGCCCTTAAACGTCACTGCACCTCAAACAGGAATGCCACTGTCAAGGAAATAACAGAATGGGCTCAGGAATACTTCCAGAAAGCATTGTCAGTGAACACAATCCACCGTGCCATCCGCCGTTGCCAGCTGAAACTCTACAGTGCAAAGAGGAAGCCATTTCTAAGCAAGCTCGACAAGCTCAGACGTTTGTACTGGGCCAGGGGTCATTTAAAATGGAGTGTGGCAAAATGGAAGACTGTTCTGTGGTCAGATGAGTCACGGTTTGAAGTTCTTTATGGAACACTGGGACGCCATGTCATCCGGACCAGAGAGGACAAGGATAGCCCAAGTTGTTATCAACGCTCCGTTCAGAAGCCCGCATCACTGATGGTATGGGGTTGCATGAGCGCTTGTGGCATGGGCAGCTTGCATGTCTGGAAAGGCACCATTAATGCAGAGAACTATGTTCAGGTTCTAGAACAACATATGCTCCCATCTAGACGTCATCTCTTTCAGGGAAGACCCTGCATTTTTCAACACGATAATGCCAGACCACATTCTGCAGCAATCACAACATCATGGCTACATAGGAGAAGGATCCGGGTACTGAAATGGCCAGCCTGCAGTCCACATCTTTCACCTATAGAGAACATTTGGCGCATCATAAAGAGGAAGGTGCGACAAAGAAGGTCCAAGACGATTGAACAGTTAGAGGCCTGTATTAGACATGAATGGGAGAGCATTCCTATTTCTAAACTTGAGAAACTGGTCTCCTCTGTCCCCAGACGTCTGTTGAGTGTTGTAAGAAGAAGGGGGGATGCCACACAGTGGTAAAAATGGACTTGTCCCAACTTTTTTGGGATTTGTTGACGCCATGATATTTGGAAACAACAGATTTTTCCCTTAAAATGATACATTCTCTCAGTTTAAACTTTTGATCTGTGATTTGTGTTCTATTCTGAATAAAATATTAAAATATTAGATGTTGGCACCTCCACATCATTGCATTCTGTTTTTATTCACAATTTGTTTAGTGTCCCAACTTTTTTGGAATCCGGTTTGTTTATATATATATATATATATATATATATATATATATATATATTGTATGACTTTTTATAACTGTTTATTGTTGTCGCTGTTGTCCATTGTTGTCATCATTCTTTGTTGAAATCAGGTCTCTCTTGTAAATAAGTCCTCAAGGCTCAATGGGATTTACCTGTCTAAATAAAGGTTGAATGAAAAAAAATATATAAAATGTAATTCTATAAAGGTGATACAAGTCTAATAACAAGACAACACAGTACCTCTTGCTGGCGAAGACTTTCTACATCTTCCAGGACTTGCTTGGACCTTCGCTTTTCTGTTTCCAGACGATCTGTGAAACACAATGGAAATGATTTTGGTGCTTTTGTGAAATTCTCTTTGAGCATTTGTAGACCAAATGTTTGCATTACCTTCTGCCTGTGCTAGTCGCATCTTGAGCTCAGCTGTGCTGTTAGTTAATTCCTGCTTCAGCTCAAAGATCTGCTGCTGCTGAGACTTACATCGGCGTTCCATTTCCTCTACCTAACATACATCTGTTACTAATGCAATACCTACATTCATATGTAACAATGTTTACAAGGCAAATTGTTTAAGAACACAACCATTGATTTTATACTAAGTTGTACCTTATTCCTGAGTTGACCATTGCGTTCCATCAAGTTCTGAACTTCTCTGTGGAGCTTTTCCTCTTTGAGTGCACTTTCCTACAGGACAGAAAAGATTTGTCATTAGTTTGAGATAAAAGTACAGTTTACTGACAAGCAAGCATTTTGTTGTTTGGGGTTTTGATTGACATTAACATAAACAAATACAAAAACAAAGTAATTCTTGTATGTAAATCTGCCAAATTGTCAAAATTTTAATGTAACAGCAAAGTCCATCCATCCATCCATTATCTTTACCTGCTTCTTCCATTTTGGGTCACGGGAGTCACCGGTGCCCATGTCCAACAATCAATGTGCGAGGGGCGGGGGACACCCTGGACGGGTCGCAAGTCCATCACAGTGTCACATAAAGGTGATATAGGAATGATTATTTTGATGCTTTTATGTCAATTAATACTTATACTCACTTTTGATGCAGCTTATCTGCCTAAAGTCAGGCCTGTGCTACAGATGTGTTTTGGAGTAATTAAAGTCCTCTGGGGGATGCTCTAACCAGAAGACCTGGCCCATCTTAAGGTTACGGTGACCCAGGGTTTGAAGGACATGTTTTTATGAAGCCATCGCTCTGTTGCACAGACTGCTTTGATGATGGAAAAACATGTTTTAATTAAATCTGTCCTCCTGACAACCATCAAACTTGTTTTTCACTGCTCTCACGCGATCCGGTCAGGGAGAGGTATAAAGGAGGTGTGACAGGCAAGGGAATTTTGGAAGTCTGCTGTGGACTAACGCGTGAGTGCCCGGTGCAGTTTTGATGTGATTCTTCTTTACCCGGGTCGAAAACGACTTCCCGGCCAGTGTCACGGTGAGAGGCTCTTTCATATCAATTTGTGTGTGTAAAGAGTGTACAAGTGTACATGTTTGCTTGGCTGTTTTTTCTGTGGCAGATTAATAAATGACACTATTATTTCTAGCAGAAAACAGTCTCTTTTGATTTATTTCCTTTCGTGTGAATCATTGGGTGCCGATCGTTCACGACCCCTGTTAATTTCATAATACAAAAGGCAAACGAGACAAACAACCATTCACTCTCTCACTCACACCTAGAGACAATTTAGAGTTACCAATCAGCCTAACTTGCATGTTTTCGGTCTGTGGGAGAAAACCAGAGTACCTGGAGAAAACCCACGCATGCACGGAGAGAACATGCAAACTACACCCAGAAAGGCCCCTGGACCGGGATTTGAACCAAGGACCTGCTCGTTGAGAGGCAGCAGCTCTACCAGTTGTGCCACCGGGCTGCCCAAAAACCTTCACATACATTATAAAATGCTAATTAGTAAGTTAACTAAGGAAGCCAGCAGATTCCATTAAATCTCCACTTTTTCGCAACCTCCCATCTTGAACAAGCACAATTGCGACAGTGGAAAGGAAAAACTCCCCTTCATTAACATACATAAACATCGTCCAGTGCCACCATTGTCACATATTTTGGTTATTCTAAATCAAAAGCTGAGTAACAGAATATCCTGATGCATGCTCAATAATCCAGGTAGAAAAATCTAAAAAAGTTAAATCTGGTCCTCTGGACATTAAAAAAAAACCCAAAACAAAGCAAAACAACAAAAAAAAGTAGAAACGTTTCGTCTCTCATCCGAGAGACTTCCTCAGTCTGAGGTGCTGTATTCAGCTCAGTCTCTTAAATAGCGCCTTCTCAGAGTGGATCAACCAGTTTTGCTGCTGACAACCAAAACCAGCTGATCACATGCTCAAGAAGGACCATCAGCCTAACAATGGATCATTAGCACACTGACGGCTGTTTACTATTCACAGAGGGCTGAGTGATACTAGTAATCACAGCATTGTAAGAGGGGGACAATTGAACACGTAGGCCTCCACCCCTGTTTAACAATTTTTTTTTTTTTTTTTTTTCATTTAGCCTTTATTTATCCAGGTTAGTCTCATTGAGCCACGAGAACTCATTTTCAAGAGAGACCTGTTTTAGGGAGCACATGGTGGGGGTTAAGGGCCTTGCTCATGGGCCCAGAGTGGGGCGAATGAGGGTGGGGGCAGGTGTGGGTGTTTCACCTATCCCACCCACAATTTTTTGACGTTGTCGGGGCCGGGGCGTGAACCGGCGATCTTCGGATCACAAGCCCACCTCTCTAACCTCTGCGCCACCACTCCCCCAAATGGACGATGGACGATTTCTTTTCACAAAGATGGCCTCCTTTACTCCTCTCTCAAACCATCGTTCCTCTCTATCCAAGATGTGAACATCTTCATCCCTGAAAGAGTGACCGCTGGCCTGGAGATGAGTGCAGACCTTTCCACAGAACAACTGTGTCAACTCTTGAAACTGTGCCTGCAGTCAACCTACTTCACATATGGGGAGCCACTGTTGGGAAACCGAGGCCAGATGGGATCAGGACGGTGAGCTGGAATGGAGCCTAGAAAAAACCTTCCCGCCGGATCATCCGAACTGGCAGGAAAGGCGCGGGACATAAAAAAGGGTCCCTTAATGTCAGCAGCCTCCTGGATTACGCCGGTCAACCCCAGAGGGTGCCATCGGCCGGGAGCGGTGTGATCGCCGATGCGAAACGAGGTGGGATGAGTTGAGCATTCGCTCAGCCCCCCTCCACCGACACTACGCTCTCCAGAAGGGAATGAGCAGTGGGGCTGCAGTTGAACGCCGCCTGTCCTGGAGGAACCATCCGATTCGCTCCGAGGGTCGGCGATAAGAGGAAAATTACAAGATGGCGTTGTCCAGCGTGTAGCGACCTGTCACTGAGAAATACTCCTCGATGCTTACCTTGAAACAAGACTGCTCGTCAGCTTCTCCTCGGGGAGGAGAGCTCACCGGGACGACCGGAAGTCGACGTGACGGGCCAAGCATTCTTAACAAAGGTTGGTCATCTACACAACTTTCCTTCTTCATTCTTCTGACAGTGCTATTAGCTTGCTGAAGAAAAATGGGAGCCGATTACTTGCTCTTAACGTAATTTTTACGGACTGGATTGGGCCCACACAGCAAGTGGGCGTGGACTAAATTTTTCAGTGCAATGCTTCGCATAACGGGATAAAACCCACTAAGCAACAGCCCTAAAGGATGAAGCCTATATGAAATAGAACTTCCGTTCGTCCGTCCCAGATGATTGTTTATCTGGAAGTGGAGCTAAACTCAACTACAAGAGCCGTTTATCACAGCTGAGAGCCGAAGCTCTATCAGCTCAGCTCCGCCGTGTCAAACTCTGCAGAATTGTGACAGTTCTGCCTGTCATGCGACTCCTGGGACAATGTCAGCGGCCCACATCGTGGTTCTGCTGGGCCTACTTCACATGAGACGCCTTCAGAGATGGTTCGCCCGCCTGCGCATAGATCCTGTGTGCCAGAAGAGGTGGATTATCTTTGTGCCCCTCATCCGTGAGAACTGATCTGAATCACTGGGGAAACCCCCTCATTCTGTCAGAGGGAGTTCCCATCAGCAGGCCTACGTACACGTCTCAGTTTTCACAGACGCGTTCCTGTCAAGCTGGGAGGAATGTGGCTGTCCCAAGCAGTGGGAGCACAGTGGCTGGACCACATGTCGCTTTACATAATAAGCTAGAATGTTTTTCACAGTCTGAAACGTGACTCAGCATTTTACCCCTGCTGCGGGATCAGCATTTTCTGGTCCACACAGACAACAAATGACGGCAGTTTACATAAACTGTCAGGGAGACGTGCACTCAGCCCAACTGTTACGCATCGCAAAACAGCTGTTGTGTTGGGAACACAAAAACCTGCTCTCTGTCAGAGCAGTGTACATTCCCAGTGTCCTGAACAGGCGAGCGGATATCATGTCGAGGGGCGCTCTCCTCCAGGCAGGAAGAGCAATCAGGAGTTACCCAGAAATAGGTCAGCATCTTTGGGTCTGTCCGCTGAACAGATCCGTTTAGAAAAGATGGGCCTACCACAGAATGTGGTGCGTACGTTCAGGGCGCACAAGATGCTTCCACCACAACGCTGTACACATCAAGTGGACAGTTTTTCAGCGCTGGTGCGCAGAGAAAGGCGTGGAGGCCATCTCATGGCCACTAGGTGGCATGCTGTCCTTTCTGCAGCAGCTGATGGACAGAGATCTGGCGTTCAGCACAATTAAAACTTGTGCTGCAGCTATTTCTTCCTGTCACTAGGGCTTCAGTGACAAAACAATGCTTAATCACCCGTTGATGAGGCGTTCCCTGAAAGGTGTACAGAGACACAGACCGGTGTCACGTCCACTAGGTTCACAGTGAGACCTAATGATGGTCCTGTACGCTCTGATCAAAGCACATTCTGAGCTTTTAGATCAGGTTTCACTTAAATTCTGTCATTTAAAACAGCCCTGCTGTTAGCTCTGATGTCGGCAAAGAGAGTGAGTGATTGTCTGCTCTCTCTGTTACTCCCTCATGTCTCAGAATTCAAGCTGACGGCAGTTCAGCTGTACTGCGTTTTAACTCTGCTCTGAAAAGCATCACAAGCTCATTCAGATCGAGAGTGATAACCTTGGATGGGTTTTATCCTCTTCCTCATAATTCTGAGGAGGAAGCAACATCTCACCTCCTTCTGTCCCATTTTTCATGTTACATGGCGCACACGGCCGCAATGCGCCGCTTTCAGCATCTGTTCGTGCATTACTAGGACATCTAAAAAAGTTAAATCTGGTCCTCTGATCACATGCTCAATGCCTTCTTGAGCATGTGATCAGCTGGTTTTGGTTGTCAGCAGCAAAACTGGTTGATCCACTCAGAGAAGGTGCTATTTAAGAGACTGAGCTGAAAACAGCACTTCAGACTGAGGAAGTCTCTCGGATGAGAGACGTAACGTTTCTACATTATTTTTTTGTTGTTTTGCTTTGTTTTGTTTTTTTGAATGTCCAGAGGACCAGATTTAACTTTTTTAGATTTTTCTACCTGGATTATTGAGCATGCATCAGGATATTACTAGGACAGCTCTTCAGGACATCCTCTATCCACCCAGCGCCTCTCACAGTGGTTGTGTGAGGCTATTTCTGAAGTTTACAGTTCATCTGGACTGGATCCTCCACCAGAGGGTTTTCATCCTCCATGGCTCTGCATGGAGGGATGACAGTGGAGAATATTTGTATGGCGGCTGCCTGGTCATCGCCACGTTCAATTATTTGTTTTTATCTACGTGATGTTTCTACTTTCTCCATGACCCATTCTGTTCTCAGGGTTCTGACAGAATGATTATTTGTTTCATGGAGCCTCACTTTTGAGCTCACACCTGCCTGCATGCAGTCGCAGTGTGAGATGTTTATTATCAGTCACAACTTCATGACTGCTGATTTTATCATTATTAACCGGTTCATCCTGAGGAGCTGTTGGTCTGCTCTGTTCATCGTTACACTGTTACAATTCGTATCCTCCGTTGTTCCTATTCACAGCAGCAGGTCTGCTATCTCAGCCTTTTTTTCCGCACCAGAGATCTTCTCTGGTGCGCTCCTGCGCATGGAGCATGCAATTATGCAGCGCGTAATTACGCACACAGAAGGCTGAATGATGCAATGTTTTTTTGTGCAAGCAGGTGCTTCATGTTGCGTCTGAATGGACCCAGTGAGGCATAGACTACATCCTGCTTCGCCTTTAACCCACTAGCGACAGTCTTAAAGGGCGAAGCCTATACGAAATAGAACATTGGTTACGTACTGTAACCTCAGATTCAATGAGTATAGGCGCAGCCCTTTAAGCTCTGGGCCTCACTGGTTCCTAAATGGCTGAAGAAAAAAGCTATTTGGGAGCCGATTACCCGGTCTCACTGTAATTTATATGGACCAGGGGTGAAGTCCACACACAGCAGGTGAGCGTGGACTAAAGTTTTCAGTGCTGCGCTGAGCGCCTAGGGATAAACCCACCAGCGACAGCATTAAAGGGCTACGCCTATACTCATAGAATCTGGGGTTACAGTACGTAACCAACGGTTCAGAATTTAAGATTCTTACATCATCAGGGAATATACTTCATGAAGCACTAGACAGATGACCAGTGACCAGTGATCAGTGACCAGTGACCAATGATCAGTGACCAGTGATCAGTGACCAGTGATCAGTGATCAGTGGCCAGTGATCAGTGATCAGTAGCCAGTGATCAGTGACAAGTGATCGGTGACCAGTGACCAGTGATCAGTGACCAGTGATCAGTGATCAGTGACCAGTGATCAGTGGCCAGTGACCGGTGACCAGTGATCAGTGATCAGTGACCAGTGATCAGTAGCCAGTGATCAGTGACCAGTGATTGGTGACCGGTGATCAGTGATCAGTGACCAGTGATCAGTGATCAGTGGCCAGTGACCAGTGACCAGTGATCAGTGATCAGTGGCCAGTGACCAGTGATCAGTGATCAGTGACCAGTGGCCAGTGGCCAGTGATCAGTGACCAGTGGTCAGTGACCAGTGACCAGTGACCAGTGGCCAGTGATCAGTGCCCAGTGACCAGTGATCAGTGACCAGTGACCAGTGATCAGTGATCAGTG